CCTGGCTCTGCTGGAAAAGCCCTTGGGTGTTTTCAATGTCGCTTATCGTCTCATTAAACACCTTGGTGAGGTCTCCAAGAACCTTCATACGGTTCCACTCATGCCTCGTGCGCCAAATTTCGTCCATCAACTCGCGGTTGATCTGCTCAAGCTGCTCAATGGTACAGCCCGATGTCCCCTCGGTCAACTCGTCAAGGAAATTCTCAACCTGTTCCTCGTGGATAACAGGCTGTTGCTGCGACAAGGACGAGCCGGAATTTCGAATCTCTTCGCCTGGCGAGTCGTTCAGGATGTTAACCAGAGTCGGGGCATGCGACTTGGAATCCCCCGAGCTTCTAGACTTGTTAGGTGATGAGTTCTGGCTACTTGGCCCACCCATTGAGGGACGTATGACACCGCGGGCGATGCCTTGGGCTTGGGAGTGTGGCCAAATTTCGTCGCTCGAGGTGGCCTGGCTAGCCTGCATGCCGGCTGGGATCTGCGTGTCTTGCAGCTGAGAATTATCGCCCTGGCTCTGCTGCTCGCCGTGCACACCATTAGTGCCTTGTGTCCACTTCTCTCCCGACGATCTTTGAGACGGATCGGACGTCTTAGTCGTTGACGCATCGTTCAGTAGATCTGAAGGAGACATGCCAGGAGGCACCGTGGTGATCATTGACTTCTGAGAAACCACGGTTGTGCCGGTTATCGCGCCCGTTGCTTGGTTGCCCTGTGCCGGCCACTGGGGAGGCTGCATAGATGAGCTGTCCTGGGTGGTGTCATCATCGACTCCGCTCATGTGAACGTCGCTTTGCCGTGATGGGTTGGACGTTCCATTGCTCTGGGGAGGAACAGCAGGGCCGCCGCTAGGTCCCGGGCTCATAACCTGGAAGCGAGCCATGGCATGAGAAGAGCCAGGGATGCGCTCGCCCAAGGTGACAGGTCCTTGAGAGTCGCTGTCATTACCTCCGGCTGCATCAGTTTGGACGCGATCGACGATGGACTGCATAGCCTTCCTCTTTCTCTCCTTCTCGGCTGCAGCTCTGGCACGTTGGACTTGTCTCTGGTACAGAGACTCCCAGTCCACGGTGGCTGTGTTGCCTTCGATAGTCGCGACATCAACCTCGACATTGCTTACAAGCTCGTTCGCCTTCAACGTGCGCTCCTTGTCGCCGATGTTCTTGGAGTCCCTCGCAAGAGATTTTATGTCTTTGAGGAAGTCCTTGGGACGGCAATAGTACCCGTTTGAAAGACGCTCCTCAATGGTCGTGGTTTCCAAGTTCGAGAACGTCTTGCCTGTGGCCGTTTCGCGAAGCACGTCATCGCCGTATTTGTCCTTCACAATCTCGAATGGCCGAGGCTCGACACCTGCCAGGTCGGGGCGCACGAAATTAATTTGGTTCTCGGCGAAGAGGTAGTCGAGTTGGCTCTGTGGAATGACGGGCTGTCTGAACTTTTTGTACTTTCTGTTGATCTGGTCCATGATTGGTTGAAGTTGTACTTTAAGAATGTTGAGAAGCTGATGATCGCGCTTCTGCATGGCCTTGACTTCTTCCTTTGAAGGCACCTTGGGCGGTGGCGGCGGAGCGACTGGGAGCTGGTCCAAGATCCTTTTCTTCCGGTTGGCGGGATCAGGGAATTCGGCCGGGCTCTTGCGGACATGCTCCACGATTGTAGAGAAGTACTCGCGTCGGTTAGGCTTGGTCATGTTAGTCAATGCCTATTTGTAAATAGAGAAGCGCAGGTACTCACATGCTTGGGCCGCTCGATTTGAAGCCGGTTCTTGCGAGAAAATGCAAACAGCTCTCGGACGAGGGCTTGAGAAAGGCTCTCGCCAGCCTCATACTCCGAAGTCGCCAGTAACAAGATAGGATCCGTTGGCGGAATCGACTTTAGCATGGCCTTGAAGGTCATGAACGGCAAGCTATCCCGCAGTGATGCGTACCAAGACTCAATTCCAGGAATGTAGATGACACTGGGCTTGTGTCTCTTGACTTCCGTAAACAGGCCAACGATGACCTGTTCCATGGGCTACAAATAGGTTAGTACAAATACCACAAAAAGAGAAAAGACGAACTTACCCGTCCATCAGCAAGCAAATTGGGAAGGCCGAAGTTTTGCACCTGGACACCCTCGAAGTAGTGAAGAAGCGCAGATGACAGGTAACTCTGGCCCATGCCGGCAAACCCATGGATCAGGAAGCGTGGGCGGAACACACGAGATCGCTCGAACTCTTGATGCATGGCCTCGCGTCCAAACCCGTGGTCTTCGTCGTCAAACTGCTCGTACATTGCCTCCTCAAGCGCTGTGAGCTTTTTCTTGCGAGGAAGGACCTCGTCGAGAGCCTTCTTGATAGAGTCGAATTGATCACGCAACAGTGGCTCGATTCCCTTGGGCAGCGGAGCTGCCCCTGTGCCAGCAGATCTTTCTGAAGAGGGCACCATCTTCTTGATAGAGATCATGAAGTCGGTGGCATGAATGCTGATGTTTTCGGGGTTGACGATAAGCTTGTCTTTTGAGGAATAAATCTGTGGGTACGTTCTTTGGATGGCATTGAGAGCAGCCTCAGTGCAAAGTGCTCGGAGGTCGGCACCACCATAACCCTTGGTGTTCTCCGCAAGCGATTGCTTGAAAGGTTCTGAAAGACCCCAGTCCTTGGTGTGAATCTCAAGAATTGATCGACGGCCCTCTACGTCAGGAAGAGGGAAGTAGAACTCTCGATCGAATCGACCAGGTCTTCTCAGCGCAGGATCGATGTTGTCTGGACGGTTGGTTGCTCCGATCACGATAACCTGTCCACGGCCGTCCATACCATCCATCAACGCCAAAAGTGTTGACACGATCGACGCGTGAATCTGCTCCTGTTTACTAGAACGTACTGGAGCCAGACCATCGATTTCGTCGAAGAAGATGATACTTGGTTGCGTTCGTCTGGCTTCCTCAAACAACAGCCGCAGCTGCTTCTCGGCTTCACCAACCCACTTGCTCAGGGCATCGGCTCCCTTGCGCATGTAGAAGGTGATCTTGCGGCCACCAATACCAACAGAGTTGGCGAGAGCACGGGCGAGGAGAGTTTTACCGGTACCGGGAGGACCGTGGAAGAGGACGCCTCGCGGGGGTGTGACGTGGAACTTTTGGAAGAGCTCAGGGTACAGGAGAGGTAACTGAACCATTTCCTTCAGCTGGTCGATGTGACCTTGGAGACCACCAACTTGGTTGAAGTCCACGTTAAGGTCGACACCAAGAGGATCGGCATCAGCGAGGGCCTTTGTGTTTTTAACCTTGCCGACGTTGGGCGTTGCGCCGACACCAGCACCTTCACCACCCACAGGCTGCGCGAGACCAGGGAGCAGGCCACCTGGAGCAGCAGCCGACGTGGGAGTCATGCCAACATTTCCGGCGGCGCCAGAACGTCCACCCATTTCATCGTCACTGCTGTCGGAGTCAACACCTCCAGCAGCGCCGGTGCCCCAAGGTCCAGCGAGAATGGAGCCTGCACCGCCTCCGCCTCCGAAGGGACCAAAAGTCGTGTTGAGAGCGCGGTCCCATGCTTGACTGGCGCCTCCACGTCCGTTACGGCGCCGTGCAGGGGTCGGGGCGGGGTCCTCACCATCGTCTTCCTCCATGTTAACGGCGGAAAGAGGAGGCATGAAGTAGTTCATTGGCTTTGCTGCGGCTCTGCGACGCTTCGACGCAGTTTCTTGGTAGATGATTGCGGGTGAAGGTCGCCTTGTGCGGCGAGAGCGCGAGTCTTGTCGAAGTTCGTGGAGCTCCTCGGCAAGCTCGTCATGGTCTAGCTCGACTTCATCCCCGGACTCGGCCCCACGGCGCGAGCTTCGGGTGGATCTGCCCTTGGGCTTAGCAGCTCTACCGCGCGGGGCCGGGCTGTCAAAGTCGCCATCTTCAGCATCGGCGGAATTCTTCTTGGTGGGTGAGTCGTCAGACATGTGCGCATCTTCCGCCGACTCTTCACCGGGCTCGAAATCGCTACTGGGCTCCTGGAGGGATTTCGACTTTCGAAGTCCACGGCGAGTGAGACGCCGTGTTGGGGCGTCGCCATCAGTGGGTTCCTTGGGGTCTTCCTCAGGTTCCGCAGCTGAAGGTCCAGATGCACTTCCCCTCTTAGCTCGGGTTCGCCGTGTGATTGGACCCTCGTCCTCTTCATCGTCATCATCAGCTGCAGCATCGGGATCCACCTCGGTCGATTCTTTGATGGCATCTTCCATTACTGCATCCTTGCTATCGACAACCTCCTCGGTGTCTGCAGCCACTGGCTCTGCATCACCGGCCAACTCATCGGCATCGGCGTCATCGTCGCGACGGAAGCTGCTCTCCTGAGTTGCTTCCTCAATCGTGTCTGGTGCCTTCTTCAGTCCCTTGACTGAGCGGGAGTTGCGAGTGCGAGCAAAGGTTTCCGGGCTTCGACTCTTAGAAGCACGCTGCATATGCCTGCCCGAGTTTGTCAACTCGACATGCTCTTCCTCGACCTCGGCTGTCCGGGCGCGGGTAGATCTCCTAGTGACAGGTGCAGCAGAAGCCGGATTCTTGGGCACCTTCAGCTTGATCATCAAGGATTCCTTCTTCTTCTTGGGCTTGGCGTGGTCCTCGGAAAGCTCGTCTTCGGATGCTTCAGCTTCTTCAGACTCAGACTCGCTTTCACTCTCCTTGTAGCTGTTGTGCTTTGTTGCGGCCTTCCTGGAACGGCGACCGGCGGCGTTGACGGGAAGATCTTCTTCCTCCTCCTCTTCTTCCGAGACGAATGAGCCCTCTGCCATACTATCAGAGACATCCTCATCATCGTCGTCGATGTCAGATCCACGATATTTGTTCGTGCGTCTTCGGCTGCCGCCGCCTCCACCGCCAGAGCTCTTCGACTTTGAGCCGCGCGATCGCTTCTTGCTTCGTGCGGGTGGCTGGTCGGTACCGGGCTCGAAGTTCTCATCATCGGAATCCGACTTGTTAGGATCGAAATCCTCGATGTCGCGCTTACGTTTGGACGGCATCGTGGCGTGGGTGGATTATTAATGGCAGGTGCGGATCGATTGTACTTTCGCGTTCTGATTGTTGTGCACGCTGGTTGGCGATGAGCTGCTGCTGCCTGTTGTCGCGAAGAGGTCTGTTTACGCGGTGTCAGCATCCACATGCACTTGAGTAGCATCAAAAAAGTGTCTGAGATGGCGAAGGTATCAAAGTTGATCTGTATCGGGGCTATTGGGAGGTTGGTGGATGCAAGGAAGGCTCACCTCTGTCTTAGCGCTTAGGGAGAAAGCAAGAACAATGGAAGCGGACGTCAGGTGGTGGTGCAGCAGTGCGCCGTTGGGGTTGCGACGATGCAAACGCGAAAAGTCAAGGTGGCCTTGATGTCTGCGACGTGCGTCGTTGGCGATCCCGGGCTGCGTGGAGATGGGCTTGACCACAGGCTGGTGATAGGTTCAGATTCGCAGAAAAATCACCATCGCGCGTTCCACGTCTTGCGCGCCAGGCGTTCACACTCTTGGGCGAGAAGGACGGGGAGTCAGTAGAGTGGGTCTCACGTGCAGACACCAGCCACAATTGGTCCGAGCGGCGCTTCTTTCCACCTCTGAGGTTGCCATTTCAAGCAGCAGCCATTGGCTGGACCCATCTTTCCGCAGTTCAACGGGAAATCTTGGGGGCCTCATATTCAACAATCGCGCATCTCTGATACCGAATCCTCTGGATCCGAAGTAACTTGTTCGGCATGTGTATTGCGTCTGCTCAAGCATGGTCAGTGTCCTGTCAACCGATTTTCGTCTCGACCTACCGCAAGTCTGAAGCATGTCAATCACCGTGCAAGGATTGACGGTGCTCATCGGCGCGCGAGGTTAAAAAAAGTCGGGCCCGGGGTAAGTGGGCGTCGAGTGTCCACCACAAAATGTCGCGTTGTCGCGACCACGGTACCACTCGAGGACAGCAAGAGACTGGTATTACTGAGACGAAGTGCGACTCTGGTCGAGTGCATCTGAACTGCCGAAGGGGATGCAAGGCGGGCCGCCGAGACCTCACACCGACTTCGTGGGCATGCGGACTGCGGCGCAGATATCTGCGAAAGATCGAACGATGAACGGCAATGATGTCATTTCAGATTGTTCCTCGTTGTCGGGCCTCAGTTTGCGCCGTCTCTGACTGCGGTGCGGTTTCCAGCTCTCGAAGAGGCCCAATGCTCCAGGAGTTTTTGAGGGCATGTCTATCCAAGTAATCTCAACCCCGACGTCAAATTTTCAGCTGCAGTCCGCCAGAAAACTTCCAAACTTCATCATCGCATCCTCATCATGGCGGCTCAACACCAAGCTTCGCCAATTCGACCCTTTATCAGCCCTACAGAGTCCGAGTCTGGGGTAACCTGCGGTTTTTAGGTTCCGGGCCGCCAAGCTCAGGAACGTGGCCGGGGAACGTGGCTGGTGTGTTGATGCCCCCTGGTTAAGGCATCTGCATGGAAGAAGTGGATCCATGCCTTGCGGCCTGAACATGGCTCGGTGCGCCCGAGTAAGCAGGCAGCAATCTATCAAAACATCACGTGCAGCGGCGCCCAGAAGCAAACGACGCTAAACCATCGGCGTCGTCCGAACATGCGGGCGGGATGTGACTAAACCAATGCTGCTGACGACGCTGCTGTGCCGACGAACCGTTCCTATTCGCAGATACGCAAATACGGAAATTCGACAAGGAGTCACGGGATTCATACCATGCAGAGCCTTGCAGAATATTGGTTTCTCGCGTCCCTCGGGCCTCGTGCTTTCGCGACCAGCCAAATGAGGCTCGGGACTGTTTACGAGCAGCAGCTTGAGTTTCCTCATCCGGTCGTCATCGACGGGCCTCAAACCAACCGTCACATACCTATCCCTTGTTCTCTCCTGGGCATGTGCAAGCTAATTGCCTAGCACCAACTTTGAGGCCATCACCCAACAATCAGCCCAGTAATGTCGTCCTGCAGATCCTCGCGTATTTTGCAGCCAACAGGGAGGACGAATGCGGAACAATCACGCACAGGGAGAGCGTTGGACAGCCTGCGTTAGCTGTTGCCTTACGAGGCCATCCCCACCTGCGGTTCGCATTCGGTCGCATCGATGGGGAAAGCATGTTCAGCAGACCGGCCTCAGTGGGTCCACCAACGACCGGCAACCCGGCCAAGTCGGTAAACGGCCACTCGGGGCACAGCATTTTAGACCACCGAGCTCCATGGCGACGTCAATCCATGCCGACCAAGCGGCCGAGCGCGCGAGCCAAGAATAAGCAGCCGTGCAGCCGCATTCAGAACTAACATCCTCTCAAGCATTTAAGAGAGGGACACCCCGAGGTCTAGACGAGTCTTTCCAACTCATCGTGTAATCTTGCCTCGACTTCACACCTACACATCAAGCAACATCGAAAGCCACAAACCAATTGGCTTCAACACATATCAAACACTTTCAAAGTCAAATACCAACCACAATGTCTTCTAACCTCTCCGCCCCCAACTTCGAGATGCAGCGGCCCAAGAGCAGCCGCGCCGGCTCCGACGCAAGCTCTATCTCCACTGACTCCCTCACCACCAGAAGGGCAGTCTCCCAGGACTCTCCGCGCCCGGCGAAGAGAAAGTCCTCCCACTCCCAGACGGTCAACGTCTACACCCACTGCGGGCGTCACAGCTCCCAGTTCCTCTTTGGCGGTCGCTCATTTACCGACATGGCGCGCTCCATCTTCAAGCGCGACTAAATTGCTTGTGAGTCGGTGTTCTTCTGCAAGAAAAGAGAAGAAAGCAGAGAGCACCGTAGCAAGCAAAAGTCATCACCCACAGACGGTTTATCCAACCGTTCGCCGTCGCCGAATGCGACCGGTAGCAGACCCGCCAAGAAAGCGGCGTAGCCGCTGGGCTCCACAACGGCTCGGACGGCTCCAGAAGGCGGCGCCAAGCGGGAACCCGCAAAAACCGCCCTCCGATGTTTCTTGCCAGTGTCCCTCTTGTTTGATGCGGAACATTGATCTGCAGAACACCGGATGCGGCATAAACAAACGCGCAAGTCCCCTCGGCGCCAAGACGGTGAACCGTCCCGGGACGAGAAGCGCATTCCAGCCTCCTCATCCTCTCCCCTTCTCATCAAGAACTTCTTTTCCGTCACGTCACGCAAGACAAGACAAGACATTTGGGGGCGCGCAAGGGGAAACAAAATCTCCACTCCACCCCTCATCCCATCTCACCTTTCGTAATTTTACGGGGGAACTGATTGCTGGCGCCTTGGCAGCGGTGAAGCCACGAGTAAGGAGGATGAGCTTGAATTGTGCCAAGCAACGGGACCGTTGAAACAGAAGACGCTCAAGCCAATCAGAGGCCGTCCTGGCCACGTCCCTCGTCAACTCCCAGCCAGCTGTTGCTGCTTGCTCGCCGCCGCATTGCGGAGAAGGGCAGACGAAATAAATTGACCCCATGGACGACGTGACATCGCTCCGGTCAGAATCCGTCCTGTTCTTTCTCAGCTGCTCCAATTGGCAGGCAGATGGCGATCTCTTCTCAACGACACCGCCCGCGGACCAAACGCATTAGCCGGATTTCGGTTTGTCTTCACGAAGACAACTCGGAGGCGGATAAAGCCCCATGGTTTCCGTAGCCTTCATCCTCAGCTTTTGTCTGAGACAGCTCTGCTTTTTATATCCTGTCCTCTCATTTTTGATACCATGTTCCTTGTTCTTGTCTCTGTTTTGTCAATGATACCAGGTAGTCAAACAGTCTACAAAGCATTTGTTTAGCAAATGTTTAACATATTTTGGTCTGAATAATTAAAAGTACATTACAACAAACAAATGTCTTATCTCAATGCCAATTCGTGACCCTGTCGCCGAGAAATCTAACCCCTGCAACTCGTACGCTTATGATGTCGATACCATGGCTCTCTCGCGTCTCTCATCTCTCCGTATGGATATGACCGCATATCATGCGTGTATGTACCTGTCATGTCGTCCTCCTCGATGCAATATGTACCAGTCTAAACCCCTTTGTACGTGTGCCCGTGTATGCCCCCGTCACAGAAAACGCCAGTGAAAAAGCAGAAAAACTCTCTCCATGAGATCCACATCGGCGTAACCCCGACCACCAAGTGGGCATCCTCACCTCATCTCAACCTCTTCCCCCACGCACTTACTCCGCAAACTACCTTCCCCCAACAACCCACCTAAGGCGACATGGCGTTCAAAATGACCCTGGAGTGATCCAGCAGGTTCTTCTGCCCGGGCACGTTCTGCGTGTACCGCGAGTTGAACTTCATCACCCGCTTCGCCGCGCGGAACGTGACGTCGTCCACTGTCAGCGGCTCCGCGACCACGTTCCACGCGATACCCTCGGTGCACGGCGGCGTCGTCAGGCTGCCGCTGTACTGGTACACGTCGGACCGCGCGAGCAGGTCCTTGAGCTCGCAGAAGTCGAGCCCCTGCGTCTCCGCGTGCGACCCGGGCTCGGCGACCTCGTCGAGGTGCGCGAACACGTTGGCCAGGAACGGCGACGGCGCGGCGTTGTCGACTTCGATGAGGAATCCCACAACGGAGGCGGCGGGACCGGTAGAGTCTGTGGGGGGGAGCAAGATTGTTAGAGATTTATGGACTGCCAAGTTTATACAAATACGAAAGAAGAAAAGATGGCAGAAGAAACTTACTCTTGTTCGCCTCCTCGTCCGCCTCAAAGACAAAGTGCACCTCCATGGGGAAGTACTCGCTGTCCACGCGGTGCTCGCTCGGCGTGTGGAAGTGGAACTGCTTGAGCGCGTACACTCGTCCGTCCCGCGTCAGCGTGCCGTTCTGCGCGACCACCTCGAGCGTGCTGCCGAGGTTCTCGAACACGGCGCCGTCCGGGTGCGCCGGCACATCGAAGCCCAGGCTCGCGCCGGGGACGAGCGTCGCCGAGGTGTCGTTGAGGTTGATGGGCGACTGGTGCGTGCCCGTGGCGCACTTTGAGCTGGCGTTGTTGCGGCCGTGCCAGTTGAGCGGGCCTACGAGGTCGTTGTAGCCGAAGGTTGCGACCTCGACCTCGCCCTCTGCGGCGGAGCGGGCGTAGAGGGAAGTGCGGTGGTGGCAGATTGCCGCTGAGAGGGTTGCAAAGGGGAGGAGGTTGGAGGGTCTCATTTTGGCTAATGTGAGTGAGTGGACTGCAAAAGAGTAGAGAGCTATAGAACAAGATAAACCTCGAGACTGAAGGCGGGAAGATGGGGACTCTTTATCCTCCTCGAGATGTCTGGGCACACGATCTCGTCAGATCTTAGAGGAGGGTGTGCGCCGCTTGTCTGGCGGGTACGCACGAAGAACAAGCAGGCATTGTTCGACTCGACCTCCAATGAGCCGTCATCTCATGAGGCTGGGTGTGACAAAACAACTTGGCTTCCTCCCCATTCAAGCGGCGTCCAGAATCTTGGCGAGCTCCGTTTCCGCGAAAAAGTGTCGGTAAGGTACGGATACTCCAGTCTCCCCCACGGCCAGGGTACCGGACTGGGGGGTCCACGAAGAAATCCCGTGGGGGAGGGAGGGGCGTCAGTCTGCCAGATGAAGATCACCAAGTCCACTTTCCATCCCCTCGATAAGCAAGAATGAAAGATGCCAAGACGAAAGGCGGGAGGCGCAGGAGGAGAAGGAGGGGCTTGCAATAAAGTCGCCTTTCTTCTTTGGCTGGATCAATGAGAAAGGAGGGGAGAGAAAAGGCAGATGACAAAAGATGCTCCGGTCTACGTAGAAGGAATTAGACGGCTGACACGTCGTTGAACGGGTCGGTAAAAGGCCGTTTGCCGCGGCGAGCGAGGCGCGGAGTACAACGGATGGAATCTTTTTTTCCCCTTCAGGCACTCTCACGTACAGA